TGTAAGGGTTGAGGCCCTAAACCCCTAAGCCTTCAACCACGAAACCCCTAAACTAAACCCTACAAAGCTCCAGCTTGCCAACCTTTCGCGAAAAGGACGCCCCTGCAACCTACCATCCTGAGAGCGCGAGAGTTACATGATTTGTTCATACACCCAGACCCAGTAGATTACAGTATACTAGGGTTTAGGGTTTAGGGTTTAGACTATAATATATTGAGGTATATCATAGTATATTATGGTATATTATGGGCGAATTAATGTAGACCCCTGATTAATAACCTCCCTCCGCTTAATAGGGATTATAATTGGGATCCTAAATGTTTAGGCCCTTAAAAGGAGGGGGTTATTAATCATGGGTCTACATGAGTCTTCTCTGGGCAACAACTGGAACCCGCAAAGCTGTGATGACCTCTTCTGGTCTGCTTCTGGAGGTTGTGGCTCAATATTTTACCTACTGTACTTGGCGGATTTAGGTAATACCCTGAGTAAAGGAGTGTCAGGGTCTTCAGGCGTCCAGGCTTCGTGACCCAAACCCGAATTATTGACAGGTGGCCTGCGAGACTGCCACCAAGGACTGGGAATGAGTTTAGAGTTTAGGGATTTAGGGCTTTTGGGGTCTTGGGGCTTGGGTTTAAGGATTTTGTGTTTTTGGGGTCTTGGGGCTTGGGTTTAAGTGTTTAGGGTTTTGGGGGCTTGGTGTTTGGGGGGTTCCGGGTCTAAGGGTTTAGGGGTTTCGGGTTTTGGGGGACCTGAGAAGCCCATTACAAAAAAGACTACACCCTAAACCCTCAAGGTTCGAATATTTTGAAAAAGGGCGCCGCAAAGACAAGATGCCACGAAATCCCTATTGTAAGGGGAACCTCAACAGCCTAGTACAACTCCCCATATCCTTGGAGGCCTTAGGGGTGTAGGATTTAGGGAATGGGGCCGGCGCACAAATTGTGGCTACTGAGCATTTTTAGGGGCTTGGGGTCAATATGTGGGTCCTTTTACCTACGCTTCCGTGGCTTCAACCACTTAATTCTTGGGCATGACCTTGGGTTTAGGATTTAGGATTGAGGGCTTAGGCTACGTAGGTACATCGAGTAACAGGTAGGTCTTTGATGTTGAGTTATGTGCTTCTCCATTTTTGGGAGGCATTGTGGGGATGGGCGGGGCAAAGACCTTAAGCCCTAAGCGCTACAGTCTAAAACATATCGTTGGGCCCCCAGGTCTAACCCTTTTAAAAACCCGAGGTTTCTCAGGCTAAGAGAGTTTCGAGGTGTAGTCGTTCCTGCCTCATGAAAGCAAGCTGCAGAAGCCTGAAGAACAAGCGATATTATCCCTTTAGAACCCCAATTTAAGTGTGTATGGTATACTGAATTTTATTCAGGCCCCTACGGTGGGTCTCGGAATTCAGCGGTCCATTTTGGGAGTCCTATGATTTGGGTCATGTTGCATGTAACTCTTGAACTGCAATTTTCTGAAAATCAGCCAAAAACCTAGAATCGTTTTACAATATTTCACCATTTCTCAGCAAAGAACCAGTAGCAACGCCTAGGATTGAGCTGTTTGACTCCGCCACCCGCTAACATTAAACATCCCCAGTGTGGCATGCTATGATTAAGATATGGGTGCTATTTAACATTAAGGGTGCTATTTAACATTAAGGGGATTTTTTAAAATAGTACGGGGGTGATTACGTTAGGAATGACTGAATGTCATTGTAGTAGAACCCCAAAGGAATCAAGGAACTATGAAAGATTACATGTTTTGTTACATGTCTTTTGGGCTTACAGATGAAGCCTGTGTCAGGACAACATGGTCATGGTGGCCGGAGAGATCACCACTGGCGCAGCTTTGGACTACGACAAGGTGGAGGGAATGACACTCATTGCTTCAACCTAATGCAGGGCTCTTCGTACTTAGAATAGGTTCTTGGTTAGGAGGACCCCCGCCCTGCAATAGTGGCATAATAGGAATATTATAGGACGCAACTATAATCCCAATTATCCCGTATAGCTACTAATACGGATTGGGGGGTCCACCTAAGGCTTTGGGGTTATTAGTGGAACAATGTGCAAGCACGTTACATGTATTCACATTTACAAGGATCCTCAGGTCAACCACGGAAAAAACCGGTAGCCCCTTAATAAATCCCTGTTCTGGGCAGTTACTGCAAGGGGGAAGGACCTAAGAGGTAAGCCCTAATGTCTAAACATCCATGGCTGCAATCTAGGCTTCCCTTTCAGGATCCTGTGGTATCTTCCTGACATGGACACTGCTATGTCCCTCCTCAGGTGGTGCGTGGCGTCGTGGAGCAGATTGGCTTCGACAGCTTTGTGGATGACCTGCACTTCGTCCGACTTGGAGATGTCCAGAAGTTAAGGGCCCCCTTTTCAGGGTTCTTCATAAAGAGGATCATAATATATTATTGGGGTCTACTTAAGGGGGAGCCTTATGTATGAAAACTAGCACTTGGATGTCTTCCTGGGGAGTCAAAGTCTCCAAGCCTCCCCCCTACCTAGGCCCTCCAAGTTTGGTATAGTTTTTCGTTAAGATTTTTGCAATGACCCCCCAAAAGGATACTACATTGCAGGGTCTGGGGTTTAGGATTCAGGATTTGGGTCTTTAGGGCTTAGGTTTGGGCACTTAGTAGTTTCCATAATTAGGGCAACCCCGATATAGACCCCAAAATGCCATAATCCTTTCTAAGGAAAACCTTTTAACCCTCAGCCCTATATATCCTTATTTGCCCCTATATACCTCCAAATATCCCTATATATCCCTCATAACCCCCCTGTAGTAGAGGGACCTCGAATTTTGGGAAACCCCATTTGGGTGGTTGTCAAAATTATGGTCCCTTTTTGGGTACCCTAAGTATTACGTGCCGTAGGATAGTAGGGACCCAAAGAAGGACCATAGTTTTGACAACCTTAAACCCTAAACCCTAAACCCTAATTTAGAGTTTGGGAGCTTCAGGCTTGGGATGGTTCAGGGTTCAGGGCTGCGGGTTTAGGGTTTAGGGCTTACGGTTTAGAAGGTGGGGTTTAGGGTTTAAGGCTTAGGGCTTAGGATTCGGGGTTTAGGGCTGAGGGTTTAGGGTTTAGGGCTTAGGGTTAAGGATTTGGGGTTTAGGGTGTAGGGTTTAGGGTGTAGGGTTAGGGGTTTAGGGTTAGGGGTTTAGGGTTTGGTGTTTCGGGTTTGGGGTTGAGGGTTTAGGGCTTCTGAGGGTGAAATCTTGGGGTAGGTGGGAACACGGGCTGTATCCACAATCTCTACATATTCCCCAAAGTGAAAATAAGTTTTGCTGAGAGTAGTTACGTGCAAGCCATATCTGCGACTTAGGTCAACTAAACCCTAAACCCTAAACCTTAAACCCTTCATCCCTGAGCCCTAAAACGCAAAAATCTGCAGGCTTTGGGTTCAGGGACTAGGTACCCCAGTGGTACCCTTTTTCCCTTTTTATTTTGGGTTTAGGGTTTAGGGTTTAGGGTTTAGGGTTTAGGAACTAGGTACCCCAGTGGTAGCCTTTTTCCCTTTTCATTTTGGGGGTGTCGTTATTAAAACAGAACAGTAGGAAAAAGGGTACCCTCATTATGAAGGGGTTACTGGGGAACCTAGGGGACCTGAGACATTCCACAAGCCTTAGGTCCAGCGTGGACAGCAAGGGCCTGAGCTTCAAGACCTGCGAGGCGCACTTGCAGCAAGCCCCTCCCCCAAACGAACTATAGTCTAGACTCCTTAAAGGGGTTATATAAGGGACTATATAGGGGACTGCTATAGGGCTTCTTAAAGGGGATATGGGGAGTTTAGACTAGACTTCAATGAGCATGGAACCCCTTCTACGGGATAGGGATGTATAGGGCTTACGGTTGAGTGGTTTATCTTCACCCAAGCTAACACGGAAAAAATAAAAGCCCAAGAAGGGGTCCTTGCAAAGACTACTGTCCTTTCACAAGGGAGTATATCGGCTTCCATGCTTGGGGAGAGCAGGGCTCCTGCTTTGGGATTGGCGGGGGTTCGGGGTTTCAAGGTTCTACTAACAAGGACGTTGGAAGCTCACTGCTAGCAAGGCAAGGTTGGGAAGGAGCAGTGCCCAGAAAATGGGTTTAGGGTTTAGGTTTAGAGTTTAGGGTTTAGGGTTTAGGGTTTAGGGTGAGAGGAGTGGATACTTTGTATGATCCTTACATAGTCTGCTACCCCATATGCACTCCGCTCCTCCAATTCCTTAGTACATCTCAAGCCCTGAACCCTACACCCCAAACAACGCAGCAGTGGTCATCTCAAATTTCCCCTTCCTTCCTAACCCTTAACTCTGACCCTAAAGCTTCCACAAGCACCAGGAAGTCTGTAGCTTGAGGTGCTGGTCCGCATCAACAAGCAGAGCCCTGACATCGCCGGGGGTGTGCACGTGGGCAAGGACAATTGGTCTGTAGATCTTTGAGATATAGTCTAAATTCCTTGATGTGGGATTCTGCAGAGGATGAAATAGGGGAGCATTATAGGGGCTATTCAGGGGGATACTGGGAGTTTAGACTATGGCTCATTCGGGGATTCCTCATGATTTTTGCAGGTGTTTGTTTCTGCGTTGCCTCATGGAATTGTTCCAACCGCTACTCCGAAACGCGCTGCGCGGGGCCGTGGCCAAGGTTTCTGTTGAGGCTACTACTGGAAGCCCGATTGATAAGGAGGACTGTCACCACTGGAATACGATATGGTCGCCTAATACAGACGACAATAGACCGCGGTGAAAGCCCTCAGGTTTCGACAATCTGGGCAAGATATAACGACCTGACCCAACCTCGGCCCCATTGCGGTCTACAGTCTACAGCATGCAGTCTTAAATGACCTTATTTCAAGTTTTTGACCTCAGCCAGAACAGTCACGGGCACTTGGGGACGTCGTAGGCCGGCTAGAAGGTCCTGATCTTTTGGTTTGATGCATCTTCGTTGCAGATTGCTTTAAATCCTAAACCCGGAACCGTGATTGATGCGTTGCAATGTTCATGTGGGATGAAGGACGACATGGACGTCGGCGCTGGCGATCAGGGCATCATGTCGCTCGTGCGAAACATAAAGATCTCGTTCAACCTGAACAGGTCTTATAGTAGTTTGCATTTGCTTTTCCTCTATCCCTATATAACCCCAGCATACTATAGTTTGTTTGCAAATTCATCTGCTTCAGCTGGTGTTGAGGATTGGTCAGGGTGGATGGCATTCTTACAAAACATCCGTTCACCTGAGTCCCTGCCACCTCAACGTTGAAGCTTCAGAGCTTTTGAGTCTAACAGTCCCCCGTTGGTAGATAGAATATAGGGTATATGGGGATCTTATTATAATATACCCACATCTATATTCTATATACTTAAGGGGGACTATAACCCTAAACCCTAAGCCCTACATTCTATCTACTTAGGGGGGACTCTGACCCTAAACCCTAAACTTAAGGGGGACTATAACCCTAAACCCTAAATACATCTAAATACTTTAGGTTCGGCTATGCCAGCGATGAGACCGCGGACTGCAACTTGTCGGCTTTGGAACGCAGGGTTTGGGGGTTATTCCATGGTTGAGGCTTTGGGTTTGGGGTCCCAATGAGCTATAGTCTAAACTTAAAGGCGGGTTATATAGGGGACTAGAGTAGGGGTTATTAAGGGGGATACTAGGAGTTTGGACAATGGTTCGAATCAGGTTCATGAGTCCAATTTAGCAGTGTTTGGGTCTTCTGGGTTTGGGAGTGTTTAGGAGCCGTACGGGGTTGCAGGTTACGGGTTGGTGAGTACTGGGGGTTTCAGGTCCTTTGGGAGCTTGATGGTCTCTATGTTTCCGGGCCTCTGGATCCAAGGTGGATTTTGGGTTTAGGGTTTAGGGTTTCCATGGATAACTGCCGGAAGAAATTTCGTGTTTTCGCACATAGGGTTAATGTCACTAGCTGTACAGGAGTGGTGTTGCAAGGGTTCTTGGGTCGAGCGTTACGCAACAGGCCAACCATAACCAATCAACACATGACCCTGTTTTTGCTGTGCTTGTTCCTGAAAGGTGGATACACCAACAAGCCAACTTGGAACCCCAAAAGGGAAGGTAGTCTAAAGGGAGAAGACATGTTGGATTGTGCATTAGGGCAGGGTGACAACTTTTAAACCTTGCATCCGTGCGAGCAAGCCCGGATGATGGGCAACACTCGATATCCAGACGGCCACACGACCAACGTCCAGTAGAGACGACGTCCATTCAAGTTGCAGGTTGCAGACTTCTTCGTTGAGTACCCGACCGACAGTGTGTCAGGGATGGCAGACAATCCAGAGTTGGACAGGGCCAAATCGCTTCCGATGGTGGTGGATGCTGTCTCGCATCGTTGCTCATTCAGATGTTCATCACGCAGCCATGATCCCCTTCAACAACTCCTGGACTAATCTTTATAAGAAAACTTCACCCTGTCAAATCCGACGTCCGCCCTATGCAGGCGCATGGACTACGTATAGATTCTTAAGCGGTCCTCAAACCCATAGCCTGCAAACATGTCACCTTAGAAGGTCTTGGCACACTTCCATTCATACAGAGGTTTACGTTCATACAGCGTTCCAAGCGCAGACTAAACCAAACACAACACCCAAACCCTAAACCCCAAACCTTACCAGAACCTAACGGTCCAAGGACCCAAATAATAGCGCTTTAGTACTATAATTACTATTAATGGTGTTTGGGCCCTAGAACCTTATTATTTGGGTCCTATATACCCCTATATAGTCCCCTAATATCCATATATAGTCCCCCTATAACACCTTTAAAGGGACCCTATGATGTGGGTCCTTGGCTCTAGGGCCTGTTGCCCCCAAAGCCCAAAACCCTAGCCGCGGCCTAGGGTTTAGGGTTTAGGGTTTAGGGTTCAGCCTCAAATCCCGACCCACAAATCCTGTACCGTAGAAGCCTGAATATGTACCATACTATTTGGGCTGTTCTCAAAAACATGGGCCCTTTTGGATATAGATTATATTACGGCATCTATCTTTTAGGGGTACCAGAAGGGTACCCTGATTTTGGAAACTACTCACTTCTACATACAAGTATAGTATGACTTATCCCCGACATTTTTGGGTATGCATCCGGCTACTCCATTCATGCAATAGGCGACCTACCATAATCCGCACGTTTCACCCTGAACCCTAGCTTTCTGGCCTTAAGGCCCTACGTCCCCTACGAAGACCTTGGCTTGGCATAGCCTCCATGTATCCCCATCACAGACCCCCCACAAAGACCCGTAAGAAAGCCTTGAACTTCAATAATCGTGTGTATAATTTCCTTCTAGTCCTTATGTGGGGGTTGTTCTACAAACCCCAAGCCCCTAACCTTAAAATCCTAAACCCTAAACCCTCAAACCCATTGCTTGGTCTTTTACATGGCGAAAGATGGCGACAGGTCTTGATGCATTGTTTTTCTCTTAGGCTTAGGGTTTAGGGTTTGCCAATGAGAGCAACATTCTCCAAAATCGCAGATTCAGCGTGCGTGCAAAAGTTCTGCGAAAGGTACGGCGATTGAAGAGTTTTTGGGAAATGCAATGTAGATCAGCCCCCCCCCCACACATTCTTGTAGAGTTATTTCCAGAGCCCTATTCCATTTATTTAGCTCCCTATCTAAACGCTAGCCAGGCCGTGAAAAATTGAAACCCAAGCTAAGCAAGCAATCTCCAGCCGCTAAACCACATACATCCCTACTTACAGTCCTCACAAATATCCCTGTATCTTAACCCTAAGCCCCCAAACCCTAAACCCTAAATCCCTAAACCCTGAACCCTAAACCCTTACCAAACCTTGAAGCTGAAAGGCATGCCTTTGACCCACTCCATGGCCACCCGCCTGGGCAAGACGCTCACGGAGGTCCGAAAGAGCGGTTCCTCGGATGCAAAGAAAAGGGGGCTTAAGGGTTCAGGTTAGGGTTCAGGTGTGAAGGGTTTTTGGGGTGTACAGTTTGGGGTTTAGGGTTTCAGTTGTTGTCGTAATGATGAACTAGATTCCCTTCAAATATCTAGGGTCTTTTTGTGGGATGGTTGCTTCAGGGTTAAATTTGTGTTAACATAGCCACCAAAAACCAATTGGAGTATTATTTCTTTTGGCATATGGCAATTTATAGGGCAGATATGGTAGCTTCCCAAAATTGGGGGGACCCCAATAGATACCACCAAATATTATAATCTCTATTAAAAAGCCACCCAAAAAGGGTACCCCTAATTTTGGGAAACCCTAAACCCTAAATAGTAGTTTCCGTTTTCTTTTCCATTATCCCTATATAACCCTTATAAACCCCTAAAAAGGTACCCCTAATTTAGCGAAACCCCCCCACATAGCCTTGATAGGTTCAACCACCCAAAGCCAATAGTATAGCAGTTGGCTTATGCCAAGATTTGGACCATGTTTTAGGGCTTTAGAGCTTAGGGGTTAGGGCTTAGGGTTTAGTAGATAGTCCAGGATTAAGTAGTTAGAATATCAGGGGTTATGAAGGGATAATGGAAAAGAAAATGGAAACTACTATTTAGGGTTTAGGGTTTTGGATTTAGGGTTTAGGGTTTGGGGCTTATAGGGCCCCTTACACAGATAGAATATAGGGTATATGGGGATCTTATTATAGTATAGCCAAAGCTATATTCTATCTACGTAGGGGGAACTATAGGTTTGCCTTCCGCAAACTAACATGGAATGTGAAACGCGGCCCCGCAGAAGCTACTGCCCTTCTAACCAGATATATGAGCTATAGTCTAAACTCCTTAAAGGGCTTTATATAGGGCATTCAATACCAGAGTAGTATAGGGGTTATTAAGGGGGATACGAGGAGTTTAGACAATAGCTCATATGAGGTTCCACTTAGAGTGCGGGAGGTAGGTTTCCGGTTGTAACGAGAATTATGCTGCTGATTTTTCAGAGGCCAGCTCTGCTCTCATATCGCGTGCAGAAGACATCCTGCAGTACAGGGATTATAGGGATTATAGGGATAATAGGGTATATAGGGGGTTGTATTGGGATAATGGAAAATGGATACTATAGGGATTATAGGGATTATAGAGGGGTTATTTGTAGCTGTCTTACGATTCCGAAGAGGGTTTAGAAACACATTGAAATATAGTGTGAATAAGGGCTGTACGCGATTCATACTCATTTCCAGGTTTTAAGGTTTGGGGCAAGAATGTTCGCAGAGTTGGGGGCTTTAGATTCAGGGCCTACGAGCTGAGGCTTACCGCTTCCTGTTTAGGATATACACTTCGGGGTCACCTGCGCATTGCTCGCGCTCACTTTTCCAATGCTCTACGAAGCAAACAATTTCCAGACGAACGGTGAGCTTCAAGAAGCCGAAAAATCCAGAGCTTTGGATGAGAAGAGCAATAAATTTACGGATTATAGGTAGGTGTTATAAGGTTATATAGAGGTCATATTTGGATAATGAAAAGAGAATGGAAACTGTAGGGCTTATAGGGATTATATAGGGGAGAAGAAAAATAAGCTTGCAGCTACCCTAAATTCTGACTCCCTAAACCTTAAACCCTAGATCCTGACTCCCGGAACCCTGATCAACCCAGATTTATCTAGGCTGTCAGCGGCTTCCCACTGCATCTAAAGGTTTAGGGTTTAGGGTCTAAAGATGTCCCTGGACTCAAGATAGTTTTCCCATGATCGGTCTTGAGTATTTGGGAAGGTTGTGCAGATGTTGGGGTGGGGCGGGGTTCTGGACTTATGTACAATGTAAACCCCTGATTAACAAACCCCCTCCCCTTAATAGAGATTGTAATAGGGATCCTTATATTAAGGCCCTTATGGGGAGGGGGTTTATTAACCAGGGCTCTACATTATAGAGTTCAAGGTCCATGGTTCGAGAGATTCACTACTTTACTCTTGTGAGCTCAGCGCGAAGAGGTTCAATGGAGGACGATGGTTTTTTCTTTTTTTCTCAAGGCTTTGCTGGGCCGATGGGCTTCCCTACTCATTCACTATTGTGAAGCAGCCGATCTTTGGTTTCTCGAGCCCGAACCCAAATCCAACGTCACTAAGCCTTATATAGTCCTCCTTAAGTAGATAGAATATATGGTATATTGGGGATCTGATTATAATATACCCAAAACCCTATTCTATATACTTAAGGGAGACCATAACCTCTGGTCTCCATTCCTGTAATCTTCACACCCTGATCAGTAGATTCAGCCCTGCATGGCACCAACACTTCGATTGCAGAGGGACCACCTGCAACAATGGGACCGGAATGATGTTGGATTTTTTGTGCGTTGTAAACGTTGAGGCCCTGGAATAGCAGGCCACCTTTCAACAACCTCAAATGCTGCCTTTTTGCTTTCTCCGTAATTAACCTTTCAAAAGGTCGTTTTGCTGCAATTTGCAGCAATCTCACGGGAGGCCAGAGGACCACAGAACCAAAAACAACAACAAACACGGGAAAAGTCCCAAATTGAACCGTCCTCCTACAACAACAGTCCTATGCACGCTGACAGCATTGTTCCCTTTTTCTTTTCCATTATTCCAATATAACCCTAATCCAAACCCTGAACCCCAAACCCTAAACCCCTAAGCCCGAAACCCTAAACCCAATATAGAAGGCACCAAGATGGAAGCCCAACCTTTATGAGAAAAAACAAACACATCCTCAGGTGAGTGCTGGTGGCTCCGGCCGGATGGCAAGACCCAGGCCTGGTTCAGGGTTTTTAGGGTTTAGGGTTTTTAGGGTTTACAGGGTTTACGGCTTAGAGTTTGGGGTTTATGGTTTAGGGTTTGGGTTTGGGGTTTAAGAAACCAAGCCCTCCAAAGGCATGGAAAAGTTAGGACCCCTAGGATGCAACGAAGCTCATGGGTAGTAGATCGTAAGGAGTTACAATACAACCCCCCCAAATGTACACCCGCCAGGGTTTAAGGAGCCAATAAGGACTATATGGAGAATAACAAGGCCTAATAGGGTTCCAATAGGGTTCTAAATTTGGAGGGGTACATTTGGGGGGGGTACATGTCTAACTCCTCAGATAGTGAGCTTTGCCAGGCTTGTATTAGCCATAATCTACACTCCTTGCGTAGGGTTCTATACGGGACTTTTCGGAGATCTCGGCTTCAGATTGCGCAGCCCTTATTAGGGATCGCGAAAGGACGAAAGCTCAGATTGTAGATCTTATGGTTTCCCGCATGCAGTCTAGATGCGTTTAGGATTTAGAGTTCAGGGTATAGAGTTGAGGGCTTAGAGTCAAGAGGTTAGGATTTTTGAGTTTAGCGCTTAGGGAGTATAGTATGGGGCTTAGAGAGTGCAGTCTTTAAGAGCCAGGGCTCAACGTTGGAGATCTACAACTTAGGGTTGAGGGTTTAGGGTTTAGATTTTTGGGAGACGTGTATGGCGGATAGCCCCTCTAAACCCTGAACTCTCAGGTCCAGGATTAACAGAAATTATGTAGGGTCAGAAACAGCCAACAGCAGAAGACAAGTTTACACAGGGCCATGTGAGCCATAGTTCAAACTCCTTTGAAAGGGTTACATAGGGAATCATATAGGGGACTTTTACAGACGATATTAGGGGGATACTATGAGTTTAGACTATAACCCTTGTAATCCCCTATATAAGCCCAGTTTCATTTCATTGTCCATGTTCTTTTCCATTTGATTCTCCATTATTAAGGGGGATACTATGAGTTTAGACTATGACTATGGCTCATGTGTCATCTGATTTTTTGCATTTTTCAATGGCCTGGGAAGAGCTTCGGCTTCGAGGTTAGGGTTTTTTCGGGTGCAAGTGGTTTAGGGGTTGGAGGGGGTTTCGGGTTTAGGGTTGAGGGGCTTAGGGATTTTAGGGCTTATAGGGGTTTTAGGGTTGAGGGATTTTAGGGGTTAGGGTTGAATGTCTAGGGCTTGGGGTTTAACAGTTGAGGTTAGGATCTGGGAGGCGTTGACGCTTCGGGGTTTGCTTTCCCAGTGGGTAGAAGAATTACCATGTACTATTGGGTAAATTCAAGGAACCCCCTACACCCTAAAATTCTAAACCTTAAACCCTAGACCCCTGAACCCTCCTTCCAGGGGCTGGGTTAGAGGTTTGGTTCAGGGTCGACACTTTGGGGGTTGGGTTTCCAGGTCTTGATGGATTTCATTTTGCTCGTATTGCATGTTAGTAGCAGCCATGATTCCAAGATTTTGCTGCTCTGTAAACTATAAAGTATAACCGCATTATTGCAAAAGTTCGCTGCTGGATATGGCTTTGACTAGCAGAGCCCTCAGAAAGGGATTTGCTCTACATTCCCTTGGAGGATGTTCTCTTCTTGCACGATCTTGAGATCATTCCTTCCCCACGCCCCACGCAAATAGCCTGGCCCCCAAACAACCCTTGGCCGTGGAGACCAAGTTTAGAATTTAGGGTATAGAGTTGAGGGTACAGAGTTTAGGCTTTAGGAATCAGGGTTTAGGCTTTACGGTCCTAAAGCAAAGGTCGTGACACAAACGCTAATACTATTCTTGAATGTTCACGGATACTGTATCGGTAGAGTTACATGTACCCCGAACAAGAGTCGAGCCGAATACAATTATGTTAAATACAACCCTTTCAATCCACATACCTCTAAGTGAAGGTCACCATCGAGTACCTGCAGCACCCTGATGGTTCGGTCGAGCCCAAGACACCTGGGCTTTTTACCTTCCCTTTCGTGTTAGGTTTATGGTTTAACGTTTGGGGTGCAGGGGTTTGGGTTCAGGGTTTAAGTCTTAGGGTTTGGGGCATAGGGTTGGAGGTTTAGGGAATTATTGGATTTGTTCCATACAGGTCCTCTCAAAGCAAGTCGTGACAAATATCCTGTTAACCGTTGTGTTCTTGTTGGAGCTTGACTTCATTTTGGCCTAAGATGATTTGGTTTTGCTTCAATCCCCCTGAGCCCTAAACACCCTAAACCCTAAACCCTACAGGGGGGATGCGGGGAGGGGGCGGCTTGTCAAGGTTTAGGATACAATCTTCCCCCTAAACCCCACACCCTAAACCCTAAAACCTGCAAACCCAAATGGCAAAACCTGAACCCCAAGCAACCCCAAAACCTAAACCCTGTTTGCGCGCCAAGCTAAGAGCCCCGCCCCAGCGGCCCTTTCGTATTTTGGGCTGCTGTTAAAAAGCTTAAGCTACGTCACCAATTTATTCAGGGTTTTGGGCTTAGGGCTTATGGTAAGTTACCATGATTTGGGCATATAGTAAACAACGGCGTGTCTTGTGTTTAGTAACTTGATTAAAGTTCCTTAACACATAATAGGCCGAGTACCTGTACCCTCCCCATACCGACATGGAATCTAAAACGGGGATACGTAGGACTGCTTGGGGATAGTCCGGTCCCCAAAAAAGCGGGTTCTGGCTCAGGAGATACTCCGATACTGGACGTTGGTGGTAGACATCAGGCCTTTGATGCTGAAGAAGTCAATCAGCATGGCATTCGAAAACTGTACCATGAAACTCCTGACCTAGACAACGGGCTGAAGTTTCCAGCACAAGGTTTAGGGTTTGGGGTTGTTGTTAACCCTAAGCCCGAGGCCCTAGGGTGAAGGGCTTGGGGATCCCACCCCGCAACCCTAAACCCGCCAATCCTTCAGTCCCGGAACCCCTACCTAAACCCTAAAAGTGTGTAAAAAATGGCCTTCATGGCCATTATTATGGGTTTAGGGCCATTATTTTACATACTTTTGGGGTCCAGGTAGCCCAAATCCTTCAACCCTAAATCTTAGATCCTGAGCCCTAGTCATGTATCCCAAGGAAGATCCACACCGTTGTCATCTCGACCCAGCATCTGGGCTAGCGGATTTTTCGAGGGTGGTCCTTTCTGTCGTGTTTCATTAAGGTTGTTGTGAAGGATCTTACACTAAGCTGTTACATGCCGTTCAAAGGATTTGGAGGGTTTATAGAGGGTTCAAATGGGTACATAGTAACTTGTAAAGTTAATTTAGACAGAAAATCAACCCAATAGTAATGGCATGGGAAGGGGCTTTCCACTCACTATCGCAAGCGACTGTAAATGGATTGTTTTGGGCGTCCATTCCTTCTTTCCGTACGAAGCTAGTCTTGTTGGATGTCTCTTGGCGCACAATGGTTTACGACAGGGTTTTTGGAGGTTCCAGGCATTGGGGGAAATCCCCGCATCCTTGTTGGAGCCTGAATCCCCAAACCATAATTAACAGCCCCAAAGACCCTCTGAAACCCTAAACCTTGTGTCCTGAACCCTCAGCCCTGAACCCTGAACCATAAACCCCGAACCCGAAACCCTGAACCTTACACCCACAGCCCTGAACCCTAAACCCCAAATCCGAAGCCGTAAGCAAACAAAACCCCAAAGCGCCAAACCCCCAAACCCTCTGAAGGCACGCGGAGCCGCTGAAGGCCAAGCGCACGCAGGAGTGGAGGGAGAAAGGAGGTCCAGTTTGGTGTTGAGGGTTTCAGGGTTTCTGGATCAATGTTAGGGTCTATTAGGGGTCCTTCATATTTTACGAGGTCAGGATTCCTTATATTCATGTAAAACGGATCTTTTTTCTTCCTGAGGCAATGTAGGCTAAGGTTTGGGGATTCAGGGTTTGTGGTTTGGGGTTCAGGGCTTTGGGTTTCAGGGTTTGAGGGTTTCAGCGTATGGGGTCTCAGTGTTTCAGGGTGCCAGGTTTCGGGGGCTTAGTGTTGAGGATTTGGGTTTTTGGTTTCACGTTCACTGTCTGGCGCCATACAGTTGCCACTCTCAGTACCACAAGCCACCCAAATTGAACAAGTAAAAGCATTTGTGGTTAGAACGGGTAGAAGACCACTGACATTTTGTTATGCAGACGCTTGTTGAAGCGCATGTTGCGATGCATCTGTGGCGGGCAACGACTACACGCGCGTCAATGCAGAGATATTATTTTGCTACCTGCCTTTCAACCCTTCTTTTTCCTACCTGGACCCCAAAAGTATGTAAAATAGTAGCCCTAAACCCATAATTATAGCCATAAAGGTCATTATTTTACATACTTTGAGGGTTTAGGTAACCTCAAAAAGTATCCGTGGTGGGGGTCCATTGCCTGGATTGAAGCGCCTACTCAAGGGCGCCTGTCCACTTTATGGGGGTTCGGTTTGGGAGAACTGACGCTTCTGAGCTGGGTGGTTGTCAATATTATGGTCCCTTTTTGGATCCCAATCATAAGATGGCACCTCATATTTAGGGTACCTAAAAAGGGACCATAATTTTGACAACCACCCAGTTGAGGTTGGGTCTGGGGTTTTGGGTTAAGAAGTCTTCTACTGGACAATCAGGGGTTGGTTGGTGCTTGCCCCACCTCAGAATTTGGCCTTCTGCTCGTTATCTCCTTCACGCTTTTGCATCAGCCTAAGCCCTACACCCCAAAGCCTAAAGCCTAAAGCCCAAAGCCTAAACCCCAAAGCCCAAACCCTAAACCCTAAAGCCTCAAGCCCTATA